GCAGTTCGCCACCGGGAAGTTCGCCACCAAGTAGCTCATCACCAAGGCACGTCACCACCAGGTCAAACACGAGGTACTTAGCCAAAAAATTTTACACATCCCAAAAAATGGTACGTGACCAAAAACGGTTACATCACAAACGATCTTATTTATCTTGAGCCTCTAAAAAGTTGAAAAGCATCAATGTCTCTACATTTTAATATCTTTTTAACTTTCTAGATAGTTAAGATTTATCAAACACACTTACACACCTAAGTTATGGAATGCAAATTCCTAGATAGAATTGGTTTTCGTGAGGCAAATTCCCAACCACATTACACCTAAGTTCCCACCTACTGACTTACACCATGCTTTTATGTAGTCGGTTGTGTGATGCAATAAGCAAGCAGTTTTGACCTCAGCTGGCGAACTGCCTTACTGAGAACGTAATATCCCAATTCCCAAGTCCACGACACGTTACTTAAGACGACAACAAAATAAGGCTGATGAACTACCATCCTAAACCCGGGTTAGTTTTTCCCTTCCACCAAAGAATATGTCAAACCAAATGCAAATCTGCATATCCAATAAAAGTGGCTTGCAAGGATCATTCATTCCTAATAGTTTTTATTTTGTTTTCGGTGAAGTACAAACTCGATCGTCTATAAACTCACTTAGTAGGGGGAAGGTCGTAGCCATGGTTTTGTAACTCTTGCTCTGTTGAAGTTACAAACCCAAGGGTCTCCATGAACTCTCAGATCCTGGTTCTGGCCTTCCTCTTCCTGTTATTCATTATCTCGCCCTTTGTTAGTGGAGGTCTAGATGATGATATCTTAGGAGCCTCTTACATTTTTGGAGATTCTCTGGTAGATGCTGGAAACAATAACTACCTCAACACATTGTCTAAAGCCGATATCTCGCCTAATGGCATTGATTTCAAGGCTTCTGGAGGGAACCCCACCGGCCGGTACACCAATGGGAGGACCATTGGAGACATTGTTGGTAATCTCTCTCTCTCTCTCTAGAAACACGAAATGCTTTGAAGAGAAGAGAAGAAAGGCTTACTCACATTTCCATGTGAAATTATGTTAATTAGATGATGTTTACTTTCTGGTTTGTAATCTTGCAGGGGAGGAACTAGGTCAACCAAACTATGCCGTCCCATTTTTGGCCCCAAACACTACAGGGAAAGCTCTACTTTATGGAGTCAATTATGCTTCCGGGGGAGGAGGAATAATGAACGCAACTGGGAGAATATTTGTAAGCCTTCTTTATCTATCCGTCTCTCTAGCTATTGTTGCAGATCAGTAACTTCTCTTTTCTCCATTTCCAGTTTCCATTTTTCATCTAAAGGAGGAATATTCATAATTTCCTAGGTATATATATATATATATATATGCTCATATAATTTCGTGGCTTCTAATTAATATATTCATAATTTCGTTTTGTTGCAGGTTAATAGACTCTCAATGGATATCCAGGTTGATTTTTTCAATGTGACAAGGAAGCAGATGGACAAATTGTTGGGTCCGACGAAAGCAAGAGAACATTTAATGAAGAAGTCCATCTTCTCGATCACCATTGGATCGAATGATTTCCTCAACAACTATCTCCTTCCTGTGCTGTCAATTGGAGAAAGGATTTCTGAGACCCCAGAAGCTTTCATAGATCACCTGATCACCAATCTGAGGGGCCAGCTTACCGTAAGTAGACTGACGCTGAGAACAGGCATTATTAATTGATTTAATTCTTCTTCAGTAATCTCCTGATGACCTACCTGGTTCTTAATACATACATGCAGAGACTCTACAATCTGGACGCTCGAAAGTTTGTGGTGGGGAATGTAGGGCCAATAGGCTGCATTCCCTACCAAAAAACGATAAACCAGATTAACCAAGATCAGTGCGTAGAATTACCGAATAAGTTAGCGCTTCAATATGATAAACGATTGAACGACCTACTGACGGAACTAAATGAAAACCTCCCTGGAGCAACATTTGTCCACGCCAATGTGTATGAACTGGTGATGGAGCTCATAACAAATTATCAAAAATATGGTGAGTCATGATCGATCATGAGTAACCATCTTCAAAACTGAAAAGCTTTGATCTTCGTGAAATACTGAAATAGGCAGTTGTGAAGTAATTGTAAATTTTCAAATTGGTTAAATGCCTTATGCATGTGCAGGGTTTAAAACGGCAAGCAGGGCTTGTTGCGGCAATGGAGGTCAGTTTGCAGGGATCATCCCCTGTGGGCCAACATCTAGTATGTGCGGAGATCGTTCTGAGTATGTGTTTTGGGACCCATATCATCCAAGTGAGGCTGCCAACCTTATAATCGCAAAGCAACTGGTCGATGGAGACAAATACACTACTCCCATGAATCTTCGACAGCTTAGAAATCTCTGATTCAAGCATTTCCGTCTTGTATTCGTATCTGTCCAAGCGAGAATTTACCTTCAATAGCAAACCAGCAAGAAAGAAGAACGTTTTTCGAATTGTGCTCTGATTGGCGAAAGTGGGTTGCCCTGTCTTGTTGTATTCCTTTTTTTTTTTGATTGGCGAAAACAATGAAATGAAAATCTCTTTTTGATCTGTCGTGGAATTCCTGTTTTGGGGTTTGAAGTTTTTAGTAGTATGAACTCTGAATTTTCAAGATTGGCTTTGATTTGCTTGCACCGCAGTTTCATTTGTTCTGGTGCAAAAAGTATGGGAGTGGAAGTGAAGTGAAATAAAACCTGAAGCGACGTAAATTGAAATCCAAATTAATCCCGAGCGAACGGTTGACCAGACTTCGAATTTTTCTCATTTGCAATTAGATATGGATTACAGTGGACAAAATTTACTCTTTTTTAAATTTGAAAATTCATATTATTAATTTGCATATTATATGCATTTATCCCAAATAATTCGCATATTTTTAAATTTATATCGCAATTTCGGGTTTTTGGTTCTTGAATAACCGCCATTTTCTGTGAGAATATCACAATATGAAATCGGAAACCCGCGAGATCCTGAAAAGAAATTCAAAATTTGGGAGTTTCCACTTTCCCAGTCCAGTTGTAATGGAGGAAGAAGCGCAGTCGACAGAGAAGAAAACGGTGGTTGAACCAGCAAAGGGAGGATGGGGAATCTCTCTTCTCCTATGTCAGTTCTATCACATCTATCTATCAGATCTTCAGAAAGCCGCTGCCGTCCCAGCCGAAGAGATTTCTCGTAATGTATTCCCGCCTCATATTTTTTCTGTCTTGTCTCTCATCTGAGACCATACAATGCTGAAATTTGGCTTAACAAAGTAGGAGCATAACCTGAGTATTTTGTTGTAAATTGGAAATGCTTAGGTCTTTTCATTTTTTTTGGGTAACTTACAGGGACACTACCCTATGGGATCAGTGAGCCGGTGACAATTACCCCTGAATTTTCATTTGCGACAAACACCCCTTCTCAAGTCTCAACTTTGGCTTTGCGACAAATACCAGTCGTTAATTATTAAAAGATTATTTTTATTTTTTATTTTCTCTTAAGCCCCAGATAAAAAATGCTTTCCATTGCCGTGCCTCAATGGCTTCTCACCGGAAAATACTTTTGCTATTTCATTGGCGAAGAACTGTTACACAGGAGAAGGAAACAAATCTTTTGGGGAAAAAAAGAAAATCCTTCGCATCTGGTTTCACTGTGCTGCCTCCAACTCCAGACTCTTCTCGTGTAGTAGCAGCAGGAGAATCATTTCTCCCACACCATCACTGGTTCCAGTTGTGTTGCACTCCGTCTCAACTATGCAACTTCTGGTGTTGCGATTGTTTTTGTTTGGTTCGCAGTTCGCACTGCCATCACTTAATTTCCGTAGCCGGTGCTTTGTTTTGCAGCGATTCTTTAGTGCTCCCTCCTCTAGTTTGTGGTTGGATGGTTTCAACAACAATGAAGAGTATCCAATTTTTGAATTAAATTGGTATTTTTAATTGTTTAACATTAAGGGTAATATCGTGCAAATAAATACGAGAAGGGTAATTTGGGTATTTAATTTTTTTTGTTTTCAAAATTGACCAAGGGAACCTAACGGTAACGTAGAAGTATTTGTCGCAAAATGAAAGCTCTGAGGTCTTTGTTGTAAATGAAAATTTAGGGATAGTTGTCACTAACCAGTAATCCCTATGGGGATTCTGCAAATTACCACTTTTTTATAAAAGAATTAAACAAGGGTTTAATTATAATATTGCTTTCTTTATATTCTTATACCTAGATAATGGCCACCCTGTATTGGATCATTTTTGTTTAACACATTTAGGTTTTTTTTTATTTGATATATACATTTGTTATTAAAATAACCCAGTTTATGAATCCCAGTTTTTTTCTTTTTTTAGTAGAGGTAGCTAGCATTTGAAGCTCATATGTTTTTTTTTTTTGGTTAGAGCGTGAATAGACACGTGTAAAATAAAATGAGTCTATTTGAATGGAAATAACTGTTCTTTTGATTATATACCTATTGATGAAGGAAGATTTGGTTCGATCTCGCAAATCACGGCACGTGGCAAAAAAGGCAAGTAGCTCAGCACTCAAGACAGCATACCGAGGGTACAAACACCAAAGGGAAGGGACCAGCAGGCCCAAACTCCCTACTTAGAGCTCGAACTCCCTAGCAAGAGGCCC